TTTTTTTTAATTTTATTTTTATTGTTTTATTATTATTTCAATAAATTAGAGTAGATGTAGATAGTAGATATATGAATATATGAAAAAATTTGCAAAAAGTGTAGTTTTTGTGAATATATATAATTTTTTCTGCTGGAAAATCATAAATAATATAAACTGGTGGTTAAGAATTGATTGTATAGAGAATCAGAATTAAAATTTATGTTCTATTTGTTTTATTTGAAGTTCTAAAAGACTTATGCTTTCTTTTGATTCCATTCATATTTTTTGTGTAAATTGGCTTTTTCTCTATAAGAAATTATTTATTTTTTATTTTTTTTGTTTTTGAACTATCCACATAGTTCCACCCTAATGAAGTCATTCTAAAGATATTGCCCATGAATTACGTTTGACCTTTTTTGCACAGATTAAATTTTCCATACTCCTTCAAAAATCGCGCCAGACTAACGCACTTGTTCTTAAAATATCGCCCATGAATTATCTTTGGTTTATTTTTATTATGCCCGCAAGCTTATTTTTGGCACACATAAAGGCGTGTATATAATATAGTCAATTTAATCCCTTCAGACTGTCGCTAATGACATTAATGACGTATAAAAATGCCGACAACAACGATTAGAGCAAAGTTTACACCTGAGTAAAGCAGATAAATGTGTATTTATAATTAAAAATTTTAAGGTTTTTGGAAAATTTGGTATATAACTATATATTTAGGTATGAATATAACTATGTGCATATATATTTATGCTGTAGCTCATCATTAGAATAAGAGGGTTCATATAGAAAAGTATTTATATTAAAATGGTTTTTATGATGAAATATGCAAGATGTTTCATAAAAAATTAGTAAATTTATTAGAAATATTATGAGTAAAAAATTGTAAGATTTAATTCACAATTTTTAAATAAATTTCATAATTTATTCTTCAAAATCTATTTCGTACCCTTCAAAGTAGCCCATCTCCTGTAAGCTATACGCTTGTGCCACCGTTTTTTCCTATCCTCGAAACACTTGTTGAAATAAATTTCCGGAATAGCCTACAATGAGCGCATGTCTTCAATTGACTGAAAATATTTTTTCCGGCTTCGACTTACCTATCCTATGATATTCAGCCGATTTTCGGGGTCGTAAGCATAGATCCTATACTCATAGCCAATAACAATACATTTCATGATATCCTGGTAGCCGGAAAGCATTGTTTCACAGTTAACGCGACGTTGTTTTTCGAAAAAGTTTAGTGATTTTGGAAACAATCGTGTTTTCACTTTTCATTCTAATGATGCCAGTAAGATATCCGACTATTAATTGTCGATTCTCAAGCTACCAGTTCTTTTATTTTATTGACGTGTTGATCAACAGTTCATGTTAATGGCCGTCCTGGACGTGATTCGTCGTCAACGCGTTCTCGACCTTCCTTTACCTACCTATTTCTCAATTAAAATAATAATAAAATAATATAGACATAAAAAATATAGTATATAAAGTTCAGTTATAAGTGAATATTTATAAAAAAAAAAATGAAATTCATTATTATATATTTTTATAAAAATTTTTGCTTCTTTTTTCTAGTTCCGGTCGACGACAACTGGGTTCAAATGCTTTAGCCAGGTGAGTTTAGAGACAAAAAAATTATTAAAAAAAAGTAACGGAATGAACTTTCTAAGAAATTAAGTAATTTTTTAAAAGGCTTAGCTTTTATTAATTATCGATTTATGATCGACTAAAAAAATTCCGCTATGAAAAATGTTCATTTTAATAGAATAAATATACACAATTTTATTTTCTGCTCCAAAAATACTCAAACAAGATGCAAGCAGCAAAAAATTTCATATATTTTAATAGCGGAAACAGTTATATTTTGATATAGAGCTTTATATTTATTTATTCATTTATTTAAATCAATTAAAATTATCAAAATATTAAAATGCACAATTCCACAAAAATTTATTCACCTGTCAACAGTTTTAGAGCTAGTATTTTGCTTTTCACACATCCGCCAGTTTGACGCCACTGTATTGCATTTCAAATTCCTGGAACCCAAACTGTGGTGGAAAAATATTTAGCAAAGACACAGATAGACTTGAGCTTGCACAAGCACTGTGTTAGTCTTTATTGTGAACTGTTGTTAGGTTGCTGTCTCTACTAAGTCCCGCAAGAAATACATTATACGGCGGGTACAAAGTAGTGCACAAAGGAAGTAGTTTTTAATTCTTCTTTTTTAATTACTCGTTTAATTTTTAAGCTTAAGATAAAAGATGTAGCGCTTTCTTGGTAACAGCGGAGAGTGTGAACAGGAATAATGTATATAGTTATACTTACTAATACACGTTATCAATTACTTAAACAATTACCCAAACAAGCACACTAGACTTCAAATTTCATACAATATATTTATTTCACCTAGCTTTTAACCACTTACACTGCAAACACACATACATACATATTTAAATTTACAATTTCTCATTATTCAGTCAACTTTACAGATCCTCAAGTTTCAATTCGTCTGGGCGTAGCTCCAATTGTGATACCACAGAAGACATGTATAGCGACATCAGTTTGGATAATGTGCAGGATTTGAACTATAAGGTGAGTTAAAAAGTATTTATGTTTATTATATTTAATGACTGTATTTTTAAGAAAAAACAATTTTTTTGTCAAAGAAAAAAAAATACAAAAAAATAAAATAAAAACAAAATAAAAAAAGTCCTCATTAAACATC